TTCAAAGGAGGAAGAAATCACCTTTTTAATGAACAACGCTGGGACAATTGGACCGCCATCAGCACTAAAATGAAGCCCTATATCCCTCACCTTACACAATCAGTTAAAAATGGATCATGGGCTTAAATGTAAAAACTGTAAAATTTTTAGCAAATATCATAGGAGAAAAATTGGGGTATTTGGGCTAAGCAACAATTTCTTAAACTTGACACCAAAGTAATGAAAACAAAAATTGATAAATTGGTCTTCATCAAAAGTAGAGAGGATAAAAAGCCAAACTGTAGACCTAGAGGAAATACTTGCAAACCACACATCTGACAAAGGATGGGTGTGTAGAATATATAAAAACACTGAAAACTCAATAGTAAAAAACAACTCAACTAGAAAATGAGCAAAAGACATGAACAGACATTTCACTGATTAGAACAATGGATGGCAAATACGGAAAAATACTCAACAACTTTAGCCATATGGGAAGTGCAAATTAAAACCACAATGTGATCACAGTAGGCATCTATCAGAACAGCTCAAATGAAAAATGGTGCCAACACAAGATGCTGGGGACATTGTGGAGAAACTGCTTTCTCTCATGCATTACTGATGGGAACATAAAATGGCACAGTCCCTCTGGAAAACAGTTTGATGGTTTCTTATAAAATGAAACATGCAGTCAGTATATGACTCAGCAATAGTACTCTTGGGCATTCATAACAGGGAAACGAAAACTGATGTTTATACAAAAACTTGTACACGAATGTTAGTAGTGGATTTATTCAAAATGACCCCAAACCAAAAGCCGCCCAGATGTCCTCATCACGTGAATGGTGAAACAAGCTAGGTTACATCCATCCCATGGGATACAACTCAACAATAGAAATGAATGAACTACTGGTAACACACAACAACTTGGATGCATCACTGGGGAATTACACTGAGAGAAATAAGGGAATCCCCCAGAGTTTACATAAAATCTGATCCCAGCTACATAATGTTTTTGAATTGAGAAAATTTTAGAAATGCAGAACAGATCAATGGTTGCTAGAAGA